CAGCTGCTGGTCCTTCAGCTGCTGGTCCTTCAGCTGCTGGTCCTTCAACCACCGGAGGAGGTTTTGAACAAACCTTCTTTATCAGGACGTGACTTTAGGCCTGGATGTGTTTTCGTTCACCACAGAGCTCCGGAGCAGCTGTCATCATACAGCTCTGCTGCACTTGAGGCGTTTGGAGACTCTGAGACAAACCCAGAGCAGTCCTTTAGCACTGAAGCTCTGTGAGGAAGCAGAGGACCATCATGGACGTCCTGAGACATTCTGGAGACGCAGTTGGACGCTCAGAGACATTGTCCTTTAGGGACGAATCTGACGGGTCGGTAAACAGTTTTCATGAGGACATCTGCAGCATGTCTCGGACCTTCTCGACGGTTGTCTCCTCGCAGAAGAGCGGCATCTCGTCGCTGGACTTCATGTTCAGAAAATTTGAGTGTCAGAACAATCGGTCGCTGCGGACGCCTTGGACCCGTCAACCCCGGGTGTCTGGAACCGGTCTGAGGAGGGCCAGACCTGGATCTGACTGTTCTGACAGGAAACTGTTCCTGCAGTTGCAGCTCAGACAGGAACCAGCCCAAGTCTCGCAGGGGGCTCAAAACATCTCAAAGAAACGGGTCCTTGAAGGACTCATGTGGTTCTGGGTCGGTGGATCCTGTTTGTGTGAAGCCAGCAGGTCCGTCAGAACATCCTGCAGACATGCTGTCAACGTCTCTGTGGGTTCTGGAGATCCAAAGCTGAACAGAACCATCAGCAGGTCCTGGTCCTCAGATCCACCATCATGGATCAAAGAACTTCCTGTTCGTCCTGGAAGTGAGGCTTTGTTTGTTTGTTTGTTTGTTTGTTTACACATCTCTGCTGCTCACAGGTCAGTTGTTGTTTTAAGCCATAAAATGTTTGTTGAACCAAACTCCTGTTTTTCTCTGGGTGATGTTTGAGTTCTTGAAGGAGAACCTGAACCTCAGACGGTTTTTATAAGCTCTGGTTCTTCTCCAAACACGTGCAGTTCTCATGATTCCAGCCGCTCTCGTACAAACGCATCATTTTTAAAAAGTATTTTCTGTTTCCTAGTTTGTCTCTCTCTTCTGTCCCTCATCAAAACTTTGATAAACTTTTATTTTCCAAGAAAACCTGAAGTCTGACTCTCATTAAGGTCCAGGACCGACAGTTGGAGCGGTTCTGTCAAAGTGGTTCAGTTTTTACGTTTGGTGCAAAGTGAATAAAATCTATCTTGTTCTAAAAGAAGTTTGTTTCATGAACGCTTTATTAAAAACGTGGCGCGTGATTTCACGCGCGGCTGTTTCAGCCTCGGTCAACGAGTCCCGAGTTCATGAGACGACCAGAAACATTTTCATCGACGTGTGGAGACGGAACCGAGTCGGACGGTTCATGAACTCTTCTCTACAACCATGAGTCCAAACCTGAACGGTTCAGTCCTGACACAAACTGCCTTTTGGACCTCGTTCACCATTTCCATCTCAACGTTGAACAAACGTGTTGTAAACTTGGTTTATTTGTTTTTAACACTCAAACTGTAAAACTCAAACGGGACAAAGACGAACTCTAAAATACACGACGAGAGAAAAACCAAGAACTGACACGCGTCAAACTGCAGCAGATGATCAGTCGAGTGGAACAAAAACTGCGTTGATTTCAGTGGACGTGACGAAGAGTCCAGTAAAAGGACAGAGGACGAAGGACACGCAGAGCTGAGGGCCTCAAGGCCCCGACACTGGTGGTGGTTCCGTCTGATGGAGCTGAAAACAAACATTCACAACATGATGCAACCGAAAATAAAAATGGAACGTGAACTAAAGTAGAAAATGGAATTCAGTGTATTTAAACAGCTGCAAGTCCCAACGTGGGTCGTCTCAGGTGTGAACAGGAACACCCGCACACGTTCTAAAAGACGGTCAGTAAAAGTTCAGTGTCTGAGGAAGCAGCAGGTCGTGTTGAACCTTCACGTCATCCCAGCCTCTCATCCTGAGCAAGAACAGAGGAGACAGTGGGAAGAAAAACTCCAGAAGAACCAGGACCAGGACGAGCTTCAACCAGCTGGGTCTGAGAGGACAGGAAGTAGAAACAGACATGACAGGTCCAGGTGTGGTTTCTGTAATCCAGGTGCAGTTTCTGTAGTCCAGG